ATCTCACCTCTTAATTTAAATTTTTACATTAAAATGATTCCTTCACACTCTCAACTCTCTAGATTTGAATTTAAAAAGTCGGGGGAGAGAGAGAAAGAGAGAGAGCAAAATTTCATACATCTTAATTAGGGTTTGTTAGAATCCATCTCGTTAACTGTGTACTCCTCACTGCCTTGAATCTGAAGATTTCAAATCCTTCTGTTCGATGCTCTGTTAGCCATCCATGCGATCAATTTCAAGATATTTTCAGTCAGACATTTAGACATAAATCAAGCACATTTGACCGTCATCCTATACCAACAACAAATAGGTCTAGGAAGTGCAATGTTCAGAGCTAGAAGCCCTTAACACATGGGCACGGCTGTGCTTACATCACGTTTCAAAATGCCGATTCAATCACAGCTATGTACGCTTTTTAAACTCACGGAGATTATTTGGTTATTATTTTTTATAATATTTTTTATTTATATTAAAATAATATTTTTTATTTTAAAAAATTATTTTTTATATTAATATATTAAAATAATTTGAAAATATTCAAAAAAATATTAATTTAAAATAAAATAATAAAAATAAAATAATTTTTTTAAAATTTTTTTTAAAAATTTTATTTTCAGTGCACGTTTTCCTCAGCAATCAATGCTTTGATTACCAACTTTCTCTTTATTATATTACTTATTTTATATAACAGTTTTTTCAGCCATCAATGCTTTGATTACCAATTTTCTTTTTATTAATTATTACTCATTTTATAGTTTTCCTCAACAATCAATGCTTTGATTACCAACTTTCTCTTTATTATATTACTTATTTTATATAACAGTTTTTTCAGCCATCAATGCTTTGATTACCAATTTTCTTTTTATTATATTACTCAAAAACTATTATAATAAGTTAGCAACAAATATTTTTAATATGATCAACTACTAATTTCTTATATATTAATGTGAAATATTATAATTTATCCTTTTTAAAGGGTCTAATGATTCTATCGACAGAACCAGACAATCAATAAAATCAAATCTAATATCAAAAATAACAATTCAGCCTAATTTATCATATACTATTAATTTTAAACTTTATCATTATCACAATTTTTTTTATAATAACACAAGCTTATTTATGAACCTCGTACCTTAAAACACATATGAAAAATTAACAACCAATAAATAAAATCAGTTAACAATCAGCATTTTTAACAAGAGCGGCTATCATTTCCTCTCTTGTGTACGGTACACCTTATTTGTTAGGTAATTTTCCTGAAGCATTTCAAGATAATTAAAAATAATTGAAGAGGCTATTGACTGGATTACATGGTCATTTGAAGCTATGATGCACAGCTCACATTTCACAATTATACAGTCAAGTAGGACCATTACTGCAACACACACTCACGAGGAGCAAAAATGAGCCTTACATTTTCCTTAAAAGCTCAACTACTACGCAAAATAAGCATGGTAATTAATACATGATGTACTCTTACAACTCAATTTAACTTTGGTTCCTGGGAAGAATGAAGGAACAACAAGAAGGGAGGCCATCTTTCATTCTTTCCAGGAACCAAGTGGATTTTCTGTCTCCAAAGCAGCATCAAGGACTTATCATGGAAACAGATAATTACAAAAAACCGACAAATCCAATCAATTGTGAAGTGGATTAGGTCCACCTGGGACAAGCTTATGAGATACAGCATACAACATCTTGACCTTGTCGTCTTTATTGAATTTCACAGTGTGAGCAATAGCCGGCAGGTGCTGAGGGAGTGGGAGAGAGAACTCGGTGTTAAGTTGCTGTTCTTCTTCATAGGTAGCTCGGCTGATGTACCTGCAAGTAGAAGGATGGAGTAAAGATAGCATGATTGTGCTGAAAACTAGAAGTGGGAGTAAAGGGCTATAAGCTATTCTCATGATTTGAGTCTTGATGAGATGATTGAAAAAAGAGGTTCTAAGAGATGGTTTTCAAGTAGAGAAACACAGCATGTTTTGAGTAATTTTTGGAGGTCTAATGTCTTTATAAGGGGGATCAAGCAACCTGATGGGAAGGGAGATTGGGCCAAAATTAACAATCCAATGCTATTTGAAAAACACGAGTAGTACCCATCTTTCTATTCCTTGGTAGCCCTACCTCATATAATTGACAACAACAGGTGCCCTTAGAAAAGGGTTAAGAGAAAAGGCCAAGTTTTCCAAGGAGCAAAACGATTAATTATCTGAGACTGCTCAGATCCCTATGATTGATGGAGTAATGAATGCAGGCTGAAAGCCCTACCATGAACTTGTGATTTTTCTTTGTAAAATTGTCATTATGCAGTGGCTAAACTTTGGATTCACTAATTTAAGGGATTGCATTTTAATCTTGGAATTATAGTGTTAAAATCCAACCCGAAGATTGATCTCAAAAGACTCGGGCTACGAGGGTAAATCTGAATTAATTAATTTTTTTAAATTATTAAAATAATAATTTTGATAAAAAAAATCAATAAATTAAATATTAAATTTTCTCTAGGTTAACCCAATTATAGATTTATCTGAATTTTTTAATTAGATCAAATCAACTTAATTCTTTTATTTTTTCCAATCTTGACCATTCCATACCTTGATATATGGTTAAATATCATATGAACTCAACCTTGCAGGAACTTATAACTGGGATTGAAATGAATGGCCTCAAAATTCAAGAGATGAACTCAGCTGTGTAAATTTGGTGTCCATTATATTCTTCAAAACTCATGGAATCTTCATAAGACAGAAGTAGATGATCTGTCCAATAACTTCATTCACAAGAATGTGCTTCTCATCGTGTTTAGAGCTGAAATCTGATAATAAAAATCAATTAGACGTATTAAACATGGATTTAGTCGGCTAGGCACGAATCACAAGACAAATTAAATCTTGACATGCCATTGCAAAAGAGGGGACAAGGCATTAAATGGAGCGTACGCGTTTGATAAGATAGCTCGATGATCACCTTCAAGCTGCCAGCGCAAAGAAAGCGAAATTTGCTGCCATCCAACGGTTGCCTTGCTTTCATTCAAGTTAATTGCAAACCTCGTCGCAGTTGAGAAATTTGAGAGGACTGGGGAGATCGGCTCTGTTTGTTTTGCACCTATTTCTGTGTTTGTTTTGTAATGCAATGCAAAAAATATAGGTAGGTATTTGGTTAAATATCGAACTGTATTTTATATTATAGAATTTATCAAAAGATTGAGTTTGAAATATAAAGTAATTTAAATTTTTTTTAACTGAATTTAGCTGTTTATTTTTACATTTTCAAAGCATTTTTTTCAAAATTTGAAAATTTTTATTTTTTTATTTATTTCAAATTAATGTTTTTTTATTTTTAGATTATTTTAATGTGCTAATATCAAAAATAATTTTTTTAAAATAAAAAAATTATTTTGATATATTTCTAAGTAAAAAATACTTTTGAAAAACAATCATAACCAAACATTTTATACATGATTTTTATTACACATAAACTTCAATTATAATTTTTACCAAACACGTACCATAATCTAAATAACCACATCTAACTATATTTTTTATTTTTTTTAAATCACAATCACAAAAGCTACCTTAAAAACAAACACACTTGTATCTATAATAGATTAAAGTTTATCGAGTAAAACTAGTTGAAGCATATAGTCATTTAATTTGTAGGTTATAAATTTTTTTTAAAAAAAAATATTTAGTATGCAAGTTATTTCAATGTAGTTTTTTATATAAAACATTTAAAATTTAAATAAAAGGTTTATGGAAGTGAGATTAAGATATTTTATAATATAAAATAAGATATGTATCCGATTGTATTTATTAATTTTATTTATTTAAATAAATAAAAGATAATTATACATCATAAAAAATCCATAACTTAAAAGATAAATACAAATAAAACTAACTGAATAAACTCGCGCTATAATAATTATTGTATAAGGCCAAACACATCAATAATATAATTTAAAAGTAAATATTTTTTATTTTAAAAATAAATTTTATTTGTAAAAAAAGTTATAGATAAATTAGAATAGTACCTTCAAAAATAAAATAGAAACAAAACAACTAAAAACACTTATATTCAAAAAATACATGTAAAAATCGTTATCTAAATCACAAGACTGAGATAAACTCATAGAAAAAAACTTAAAGATAATCACAAAATTAATATTAAAAAAAACCTGATGCAGAACAATAAGATCGTACAAAACCAAATTCCCGACAAATTAAATGTTAAAAGATGAAAAAAAAATTACACAAAAGGATAAAAAATAATGGTGAGAAAAAACATTAATTAGAGGGATAAGATTTTTCCATTAGAGGGTTTAATTGAATTAAAAAATAGATTTAATAAAAGGAAAAAAATCAAAAGAATGATGGTCAAACTAGGAAAAAAAACACAAAATTTGAGTGAATGATGAAATTAAAAAAAACTTCAACAAAAGTATCAAGGACAAAATTAAAAACTTAAAAAACAAGGATTAAAATGAAAAACTAAACATACAAGAAATTGCAACAGAAGGACTAAATTGAAAAGAATAAGAACTTTTATAAATAAAAAAAGAACAAAATAAGAAATTAATATAATAAAAAGTAAAATTAAAAAGTAAAAAACAAAAAAGAGAATGAGATAGATCACCTATTAGTAAAGAGAAAAGAAGGAAGAATATCAAATTATCATCAGCAACAATATAACCATATTTAACTATCATGTGCCACTTCAAACAAAAGAAGATACAACGATGCATTTAGAAAGATAGAGAAATATTAGTTATGTCCATCGGGTGACATCACATATGTTGTTTAAATGGCGGGGACACCAGCTTTAAGCATTAAAAAATTTGAAAAAAAATATAAAAATACTAAAATACCCTCCAACCCTAATAACTACACAAAATATCCACATAAAAATACAAAAATACACCTATATAATTGCACTATAAATTAAAATTCAATAACCCCAAAACATTCTAGCACAATTATTTTTTTGAGCTCCAGAGGCATGTATATATTTTTACTACTAAGAAGTTTATGCAAAGCCAAAAAAATTATTGGTCAACAATTCTATATTTTATTAATTATAGGGATAAAAAAGTATTTTTATTATGAAAAAAAATAAAAAATCAACACCCCAACACCCCACTGAAAAGACTCAATTTCTTTGAATCAAAAAGTATAAAGATAATTTTACTATAGCTCAAGATATATTTTACGTGTTTTACTGTAAATTAAACTTTAACATCCACGTCCTTTAATTTTTCAGGGAATGCTTAGAAAATTTTCTATTGCTGGAATTTCTCTTTGACGTTTAACACAGTATACAATCAACTTACAGTTGGCTGCTGAACAAAAACATGGATCACGGGTTTAGCTGAATTTGCACGAGATGCAACTTGGAGAGGTCTAAAGGGCTACAAATGAGCCTCTGCCATCCATGGGAACCATGGGAAGCTTTCACTTTGAACAACCAGGCTTCCGAAAAACTGTTCTACTTTCCTGAAATTGAGGTTCATGTTACGAAAAATGTAATGGGATTGTGTAGTTGTTCATTAGTAATTCCATGTCATGCATACGAGAAGCAGCGGGCATTTCTACTTGCTTCTCTCCTCTTTCCAAGGCTTAGCTTCAAAGTTCAGCATTCTCTCCTCGGCTGGCATAAATAGATTTTCATTTTCTTGTTCCCGTATCTTAAAATAATAATACACGACCCATCACAGTGATTGCTGACCAACTGCTAAAATCATAACACAAGTTAAAATTGACATTTTATATAACCAATTTATTAGTTAACAGACTGAAAATTAAAGCAAGTTTATAATAGGAGCATTTAAACTGAGAAATGTAAGATGCTAAAACATAATGCAAGCGGCAAGATCCACCAAAAGCAAGCGTTCAAACAGTAACTCTTTCTTCATTGGGGATGCTTCGCCGACTTCTCAAATGAGCACTTGAAGGCAACACTATTCCTCCTTGGATTCAGCAACAGCGGGGGTTTCGACATGTGCCGTAGCTGCGGGACCATCTTCAGCTGGCTTAGAAGCATCACTTTCTGTAGCCTCTGCAGCAGGTTCACTGGTGGAGGTTCCATCAGTTACTGGAACTGTTTTCTTGATTGTCCCAACCTTTACATATTTGCTCATGAACTTGTATTCCCAGTCCTGCAAGGCTTCCAATTCAAATGGACCAAGACCAGAGACATCACCGGTTAAATCTTTATCTTCAAAAGACATCTTTGCTAGAGCCCTGCTAGCATCCTTGCCGGCAAACAATGCATAAGGTCCGCCAGGTCCATAAAACATCCTGTGACAAATATGTGCAGCAAGCTTATAAGTTTCTGCACGAAATTTGTGTAGAGAATGTACATTGAAAGAAAAGTTAAACCATAATAGTATCCCGATACACAGAATTCATGGTCTCATACCAGATCCTTTGGGTCTTGTACCTCCAAGGAGTTAGGTCATCTGATTATAAAATGCATGATGCAATTGTACTTATAGTTTGCATTTAAGGGATAAGAAGATTTGCTGAAATCATGTCCAAACAAGGTCCTAGTCATTGTTTGTTCATCACATATAACAACAATTAAGGTACACCAACGCTGAAGATGAGCACATTGGTATGCTTAAGATTCACAAATGTCTCATAGCAACCACAGGGATGGACCAAAACTCACCACTACCAAAGAAGCAATATGGAATACAGAGCAAGGTCAAAGATACACAACATAAAACTTCCTCCACAATGTTCATGATGCTCAATATCATTCATTTACCAGCAGCAAATGAGCTGTCAAGTCTATAATTTTGATCATATACATAATTTTTTAAAGGTTTATAGAAATCCACTGTACAAAACATTGTGAAAACAACTGCCGGAAAGCAAAATTTTAGTCTTTTACTTATTGTTCAGTGTCTGAATGAAGCCTCATCCATTAGTTAAATTCAAACCACAACATAAAATTGCTGATAAACATGTGAAACACAAACAAAAAGTCAAGAAAACCACATAACCTATCGAATTACCCAGACAATGCATTCACTTTATCACAAAGGGAGAGAAAAAGGAAGATTTACACGTCAACTTAACACTCATAATCCATTAAAAAGGATTTGAAAAATTGCAACTTTTCACTGACAAATTCACAAAAA